AATAGTTGTCAGTGTTTACAAAGCCGCAATCTGGATAAAAATGTATGCAATTTTTCTTGGCTCTATTCGAAAAGGCTTATAAGTTCGAAATGTTCGCATTTGGAAAATGAAAAAACATCATTGTTTAGACGTGACTTTTTTTATTTGTTTGTATCTCAAGAAATATTTTTTAAATCAACAGATAACTTTTCTGTGTATTCAGAGCCTTCTCTTAACATAAGGGGATTCCAGAGAATTCTCGAAAGTCAAGCAAACCCGAGACAATTCTCGGTTGCGATTCTGCGATTGAGTAAGGTGACGAAACCTCACACCAGTCGCCTCGCGTTTAGATGAGGCTGTGTAACCAGGGTCAAAGTATTCTATCGCTTGAATTTAGCGGGGTTAGTTCTGTTTTCTCGAATGGCAGCAATTCTCATCTACTGCTCTTGAGAGTAATAATAATAATTATAATAATTTAATATTTATATTGCGCAATTTAACATATGGATATGATCAAATGCGCATCACAACACTTTTCGGGGGACCGGCTTTGGCCGGACTGGATTAGCAGTTTACAAACAATCGAAGGAAACTTATTTGAAGATGCGGGGTATTTAGCTTTCAAACTAAGAAAATGGTCTCAAAATTTCGCCTTCAAATTTATTTCCCAACTATGCTATAGAAAAAAATCACATAAAATTCGTGTTATTTATGTAATACTCATTAAACCATCGACGCTAGTGATGCTTTTTTACTATACGATAGAACGTAAATAGTTGTTAGTGTTTATAAAGCCGCAATCTGGATAAAAATATATTTGCATGTTTTCGTCTAGTTGAAAAGGGTTATAAGTTCGGAATGTTCACATTTGGAAAAAGAAAAAACATAATTTTTGTTTTTTTTGTTTGTGACTTAAGAAATATTTTTAAAATCAACAGATAACTTTTTTGTGTATACAGAGCCTAATCTTTACATGAGGGGGTTCAGGAGAATTCTCGAAAGTCATGTAAACCCGAGACAATTCTCGACTGCAATCCTGCGATTGACTAAGGTGACGAAGTCTCACACCAGTCGCCTCGCGTTTAGATGAGGGGGTGTAACTAGGGTCAAAGTATTCTATTGCTTGAATTTAGCGGGGATTAGCTCTGTTTTCTCGAATCGCAGCAATTCTCATCTACTGCTCTTGAGTATGGAAATAATTCGGAAAAGTGATCTTTTAACTTTCACACCGCTCCGTGACTGGTCTGAAGAGAAAACTCCCGTGAAAATCTCAACCAAATCAGATGACTTGAGGCTGTGTACCAGGGTCAAAGTATTCCATTGTTTGAATTTAGCGGGGATTAGCTCTGTTTTCTCGAATCTCAGCAATTCTCATCTTCTGCTCTTGAGTATGGAAATAATTCGGAATTGTGATCCTTTAACTGTCACACAGCTTCGTGACTGGTCTGAAAAGAAAATTCACGTGAAAATCCCAACTAATCAGATGAAGGACTTTTAAAATCAGTTTCCCACCTTTGCGGCAGTTCTAGAAGTTAAAAGGCTGACACCGGCATTACATTACAGCTTAGCCTTTCCTCGGAGGTCAGTTGATATAAACAAGGCGCGAGTTTGGGTCAGAGAAAAAAGGAGGCAGACTTGATCTAGGTAAGCAAACCTCCCTGTCCAGTTCTGATTTGAAACATAACGATGTCACAAACACCTTGTCACGAAAGTAACGGAGTTGTCACGTGATCGTCCCTGAACTGACCAATTCTTGCGCCCACGAATTTGAAGTAATTTGAAAATTTTGTGTGAAATTGTGAAATCTCCCAGCCCATTCGAGGTAAAGTTCGCGCAGACAACCCAGATTTGTAGGAACGATGAGATAACGTGAAAGCCCTAACGTCTTTCTCGCGGCTTAGAGCTCGCAATGTATAATATTTACCCACGATGATGAACAAGATCGTGGTTTTGATTCTTGGTTTGGGGATGTCTGTTTTATCGTGTTAAAGTTTACTTCATTGTTCGCGAGGAAAAAGCTCCGAGACATAAACACTCTATTGTCTTTATTGTTCGCCACTAAATTTTCTTCCGCGCGCCAGTTGAAAAACAGTCAAAACCCACCAAAATGCAGATCAATCAAATGTTTATTCATGCGGACAGCCTGTCACAAATGTCAATTACTCGCAACCGGACATTGGCTAAATAATACGAGAAAATTTTTCACGGACGAGCACTATACATCCGGGTGATTTCCGCGGACGGGCACTATCCATCTGGGCATTTTCCGCGGTCGGGCACTATGGGCTAATAGTGTCTCTCCACGGATGAACACTATCGCGTCACGTGATCGATTTAAACCAATAGGAATTGGAGAAAATTTAGTGGTGAACTATAACATCTCATATTCAACGCGCGCTTGTGGAATAATTGTTTTATTAAAAACGTTACATTGAATTATTAAATTTTATTAAATTTTTAGCTCCCTTTTAATTTTAAGCTGACGCTTACGTTTACAATATCGTAGATTATGGTATATTGGCTCATTTACCATAATGGCTAAGCCAATAAAAAGTCTTGAATTGCATTACCCACTGATCCAGTTTTTAATAATTATATTTATTACTGCCATATTTTAATTACTTTCATTCTAGCACCATCGGTGATCTGCTTTAACATGGGGTCTGACTCTTTTGCATTTCATCCCTTGACATCTGTGTTTTGTAAGCCATAAATTGTAATACATAAATAAATTGCATAAATTTGGTGTGTATTATAGTTAGTACCTTACGCTAAGTATTGCATGCATTTATTTATTTGGTATAATCAAGTACCTTTATTAAATAGCACTTCCCACTGCTTTTCCATGATCCAGTACATAGCATGCTATTAGAAGTACCATGTTCCCTATTTCAGATATGGAGTTGTTAATGGTTTAAAATATATTTCATAGAGTTATTATATGCGAGGCTTTCCCACTCGTTGTTTTTGCTTTGTTTATCATAAATAATGCATAACTTTGAATTCGGTCAATATATGTCATTGTTTAATGACGTCTGTTGGCGACCTAAGTTAAAATTCTGGTGATCAACAGTCAATTTTCAGTTTGCTTTAATTTGGCTATCAGCTGATGGCAATTTTCAGAACCTGGTATCGTGAACTTTTTAAAGTATTTTTTCATGCTGTTCATAAATGATGATGATGATCTTCTTGTTAACAGGTATTCTGGTTTGCATGTCCCTCTCCATTTCTGTCCCCCAGTTCTTTGGAAAGAATAAGGTGTCTGGTGAAGTGTTCACTGGCTTGTTTATAATCACCAAGGGCTTCATAGCACTTGCCAAGTTCGTAGTTTGTATGTCCCTCTCCATCTCTGTTTCCGAGTTCTTTGGAAATGATAAGGGATTTGTTAAAATGCGCTATAGCTTGTTTATAATCAGCCAGATTCTGATAACAATGACCAAGTTGGTGGTTTGAACAATTCTCTTCAGCTCTATCGCTTAATTCTTTTGAAATAATAAGGTTTTTGTTGTAGTGTTCTATGGCTTGTTTAAAATCACCGAGGTCTCTATAACATGAGCCAAGGTGGCTGTTTGCATGTTTCTCTTCATCTCTGTCCTCGCTTAGTTCTTTGGAAATATTAAGGAATTTATTAAAATGCGCCACGGCTTGTTTATAATCAGCCAGCTTGTAATAAGAATTGCCGAGTAGGTGGTTTGCACATTTCTCTATAGCTCTATCACTTAGTTCTTTGGAAATAATAAGTTTTTTGTTGTAGTGCTCTACGGCTTGNTGAGTGGGTTCTTTAACGTCCCCTGCCTAACCAAATTAACTAATTAATAGATGCAGGAGACGGGACCTACAGTGATTCGTCCTTATCCGAGAAGACTAGAATGTCTATCCATTTCTTGATATTATAGAAAGGTAGCGCAATGTCCTCAGTTATTTTGAGACCTTGAGTGTTGGTTCGCCCGGGGCTCGAACCATCGACCTCGACCTCCCGCACAACAGTCCAGCGCACTAACCAAATGAGCTAACCGGGAGGCGGTTGAGTATGGAAATAATTCGGAATTGTGATCCTTTAACTGTCACACTCCTCCGTGACTGGTCTGAAAAGAAAACTCACGTGAAAAACCCAACCAATCAGATTAAGGACTTTTAAAATCAGTTTCCCGCCTTTGCGAAGTTAAAAGGCTGACACCGGCATTACAGCTTAGCCCTTCCCTGGAGGTCAGTTGATATAAGCAAGACGCGAGTTTAGGTCAGAGAAAAAAGGAGGCAGACTTGATTTGGGTAAGCAAACCGCCCTGTCCAGTTCTGATTTGAAACATAACGATGTCACGAACACCTTGTCACGAAAGTAACGGAGTTGTTACGTGATCGTCCTTCAACTGACTAGCAGTTGCGCCCAAGAATTTAAAATAATTTGTAAATTTTGTGTGAAATTTGTGAAACCTCCCAAACTATTCGAGGTAAAATTCGTGCAGAAAACCCAAATTTATAGGGACGATGAGATAACGTGAAAGCCCTAACGTCTTTCTCGCGGCTTAGAGCTCGGCGATGTCTTATATTTACCCAAGACGATGAACAAGATCGCGGTTTTGATTCTTGGTTTGGGGTTTCTGTTTAATCGCATTTAAGTTTACTTCATTGCAAAGGAAAAAGCTGAGTTACGTTCTTGGTTAGAGCAGCACGATCTTCTGGATTATGAGGCTAAATTCGTTTAGACACAACGATAAGTTAACTCTAAAGATGCGACATGGAAGAACGAATGTTCTTAGATATGGTTATTTTCGCAGAGTTGTGGGAACATGGAACTCCCTTCCTCTTTCCATTCGTGAGGCAACAAGTGTAAATTATTTTAAAGTCTTAGCTAAAAAGTTTTTAATGGATTAGTCCATTGTGTTAGTGTATTTATTGTCTAATATTTATATTTATTACTGCCATATTTTAATTTGCATCATTATTTTCATTCTAGCACCATTGGTGATCTGCTTTAACATGAGGTCAATGACTCTTTTGCATTTCCATGATCCCTTGGTATCTCTTTTTTTTTAAGCCATAAATTGTAATAAATAGATAAATAGCACAAATTTGGTATGTATTATAGTTAGTACCTTACATTAAGTATTGTATGTATTTATTTATATGGTATAATCAAGTACCTTATTAAATAGCACTCTCCACTGCTGACCATGATCCAGTACATAGCATGTGATTATAAGTACCCTGTTTCCTATTTCAGATATGCAGTTATTAATGGTTTAAAGTATATTTCATAGATTTATTATTATATGCGAGGCTTTCCCACTCACTGGTTTTGCTTCTTTCTCATAATTAATGCATAACTTCGAATTCAGTATAGACAGTATATGACATTGTTCGATAACGTCTGTTGGCGACCTAAGTTAAAATTCTGGTGATTAACAGTCCATTTTCAGTTTGCTTTAATTTGGCTACCAGCTCAGTGATGGCAATTTCGGTACCTGGTATCGTGAAGTTTTTAAAGTATTTTTCATGCTGTTCATAGATGATGTTGATGATCTTTTTGTTAACAGATATTCTGGTTTGCCTGTCCCTCTCCATCGGTGTCCCCCAGTTCTTTGGAAAGAATAAGGTGTCTGGTGAAGTGTTCACTGGCTTGTTTATAATCACCAAGGGCTTCATAGCACTTGCCAAGTTCGTAGTTTGTATGTCCCTCTCCATCTCTGTTTCCGAGTTCTTTGGAAATGATAAGGGATTTGTTAAAATGCGCTATAGCTTGTTTATGATCAGCCAGATTCTGATAACAATGACCAAGTTGGTGGTTTGAACAATTCTCTTCAGCTCTATCGCTGAATTCTTTTGAAATAATAAGGTTTTTGTTGTAGTGTTCTATGGCTTGTTTAAAATCACCGAGGTCTCTATAACATGAGCCAAGGTGGCTGTTTGCATGTATCACTTCATCTCTGTCCTCGCTTAGTTCTTTGGAAATAATAAGGAATTTATTAAAATGCGCCACGGCTTGTTTATAATCAGCCAGCTTGTAATAAGAATTGCCGAGTAGGTGGTTTGCACATTTCTCTATAGCTCTATCACTTAGTTCTTTGGAAATAATAAGTTTTTTGTTGTAGTGCTCTACGGCTTGTTTATAATCGCCGAGGCGTTCATGACAAGAGCCAAGGTCTTGGTTTGCTCGAACCTCTTCACCTTTGCAACCCAGTTCTTTAGAAATATTAAGGTGTTTCTTGTAGTGTTCAATGCCTTGTTCATAATCACCGAGGTCTTCATAGCATTTGCCAAGGTCGTAGTTTCCACCTATTTCTCCATCTCTGTCTCCTAATTCTTTAGAAATTATAAGGGATTTTTTGAAGTGCGCCATGGCTTCTTTACCATTAGCCAGGTTCTGATGACAATGGCCAATTCGGTGGTTTGCACAATTCTCTCCCGCCTTAATCCTTAATTCTTTGGAAATAGTACGGAATTTGTTGTAGCAATCTATGGCTTGTTTATAATCACCGAGGTCTTCATAACATAAGCCAAGTTGGTGGTTTGCATGTCCCTCTCCATCTCTGTCCTTCAGTTCTTTGGAAATAATAAGCAATTTATTGAAGTGCACCGAGGCTTCTTTGTCATCAGCCAGGTTTTTATAACAATGACCAAGTTGGTGGTTTGCAAGTTTTTCCTCAGCTCTATCGCTTAATTCTCTGGAAATAATAAGGAGTTTGTTGTTGTGTTCTATGGCTTGTTTATAATCTTGGAGTTTGCAGTAAGCATGTCCAAGACTGCAAGACACTTCTCCTTCGTAAGCTCTGTCGTGTTCTTGTCGGGCAATCTCTAGACTGTGCATGAAGTTGTCTATTGCCTGGTTAAAATCACTAAGCTCTCCATACGCTTTGCCAAGATTATTGTAAGCGATCATCTCTTTCTTCGTATTGCCGCTAAGCTTCGCATTGACGAGATCTTGCTTTCGTTGCTGTAGCAGTTCAGAGTTTGTTTCTGCCATGTTTCAACGTAATCCTTATCTTGTATAAAAACTAAGACTGAGAAAATATATGATAAAGTATAGTGAGTATGTTAACGCAGATATTAACTTTTTGACGAAATTTTAAGCTTAGCGGTAGCCTCAAATGAGTTAAGGTAAATACGAGGGGTATTAACTGCTTGCTGAAAATTTATAAACTGTAATTACTGCAAAAGAGGCAGCACTTCTGATCGAGCAGAAACTAAATTCAGTGATGGACTTAAACTTTAATGTTACTTCCTGAGATGCGAATAATTCGGTCCACTCTGTAAAATTCTACTGGTATAAATATGAACGGCTTTCTCATCAGAAAATGCAATTTGGATTCTGAAGCTTTTTTGTAATTCTTACCGTTGCTTTTAGCCTTTTTGAAACTGTGCTTAGGGAATAAAATTTTAGATAGGGGTGTCATGTGTTGTTTTATGAGTGGAAACAAAATGAGTTCGACCTTGTCAAATGGATCGCCGAAAGACAAAATGATTTTAATTGCACGTGCACGCGGTTTGATCACTGCGCAAACAAACAAAGGGTGAAATCTTTAAAATACGAGAATTAGTTGTCAAATGTCTAAATTACTTGCTCGAAGGAAGAAACGAATGTTTTAACTTTTTCTAAGCTGTTGCATGCAGTATTTTCTTCAGCCCAAGACCCCCTTCTCTGATCCTCCAAAGCGCCGGATTAACAGATCAGTAAATTCTCCTGGTAATACCAATACATTATCCAGCAAAAACGTGATGAGAAAAGACACGCTTATCAGCCTAACGATGTTCTCTTGATAAGACACCAAATTCTCATAAGTAATTTACAGGGAATGTTTAGTAGCTAGAAAGGAGAACTGAATAATATCTTTGAAATTTAAAGGTTTTTTGCACTGAGAAAAGCATTATAATGAATTTTGATGGAGTAACTATGCCACCAAAAACTTCTAAACAGGCTTTAGATGAAACCGGCCTAAAACTAATACAATGCTACTCTGATAAAAAAAGATTGTTTGGTTTGGGACACTTATTTTCATTTTCAGTTGGATTCAATACACAAAGCTTATTTTTTTTTTTTATCAGATTGAGATTGGACGCTTTGAAACTCTCATTTAAAGAGGCAAGTAACAATTGTGCCTACAGCAACACCCAAACATTTTTGCCACAAAATAAAAGAACATTTGGATTCCAGGACTTGTTGAAAATAGAGTACTTGTTCATTAGGATGTGTTTGCCGCGTGATTACGTGACAATTTATTTTGAAAAGTGAAATGCATGATTCTATTTCCATAAATTCTCTAGGAAAATGCACTCGACTAACAAAATTTCAGTTTCCCTCAGAGGTTCCTGTCAACATGAATGTAATATTTGAACAACAAACCTAAGGGCCTGATTACATGAGCCGAGCTGGCCCTGTTAGCCGGGCTGATTTCTTTTGTTTTCACGCTTTGGCGAACACCAAAACAAAAGAAATCGGCCCGGCTAACCGGGCCAGCTCGGCTCATGTAATCAGGCCCTAAGTCTTGCATAATCTCTCATTATAACGAGGTACAATTACGTAATTGTAATCACACAATTGAACGGCGAGCAACCATTTATTTGCTTCGGTTTGATTCACACTGTCGCACAAATCTAGTGTTTTTTTTTAATGACAATTATGACCAAAAACAATTTCGCATTGATCCCATGAAGAAAATGCTTGCTAAAATCAAAGACAAGACCGCAGATGTCAAAGGCTATATTTATGTCTTAACCAAAACACCTCAATTTCAGTTTCCTATAACTCTTTGTGACGAATAAAAAAAATTATCATTACAATCATCAGGCTCAATTTTAGAAGAGAAACTTTAACAGGAGCGCAAAACATTATTAACCGAAATAGAACAAAATAGCTTCAATTGCCTTTGGTTCTTAGTTTATGGTCGAAATGCAACGACATTTTTAACTTACGGTAAAAATTATAGATGAAGCAGTTACGCAGGAGTGCATGCCGGTATATCATTTGTTACAATGTCTCGTTAGAGTATTTAGCTTTCAAAATAAGAAAATGATCTCAAAATCTCACCGTCATATTTATTTCCCAATTTTGTTACAGGAAAACTTCACATGATATGCGTGTTATTTATGTAATTAATAGTTGTTAGTGTTTACAAGGCTGCTATTTGGATAAGAATGTTAGTAGCATTTTTTCGTCGCTGAAGTCGAAAAGGCTTGTAAGTTGGAAATGCTCGCATTGGAAATTAAAAACATCATCGTTTAGATGTGACCTTTTTTTTATCTGTTTATATTTCAATAAATATTTTTAAAATCAAGAGATGACTTTTCTGTGGGACAGAGCCTAATCTTAACACGAGGGGGTTCAGGAGGATTCTCGAAAGTCATGTACACCCGAAACAATTCTCGACTGTGATCCTGCGATTGACTACTAGTAAGGTGACGAAATCTCACACACCAGTCCCCTCGTTTTTATTTGAAGCTGTGTAACCAGGGTTAAAGTATTCTACTTTGCTTGAATTTAGCGGGGATTAGTTATAGTTCTGTTTTCTCGAATGGCAGAAATTCTCATCTTCCGCTTTTGAGTATGGAACTAATTCGGAATTGTGATTATTATACATTGTAGTCACCATCTGTCTTCTCATTGGCTAAACGCGCACAGTTAATTCTGGGGAACAGCGCAACCAT